AGACAACAACGAAGTAACAGGAAGACAAGAGAATGAACCAGAAAACAAAAGCCTAAAATCATTATTCGAAGTCAAGGTTATTACGCAATTGTTAATACATGTCGTAAAACGGTTTAACTTGTAGAAAAATCAGCAAAAAGCGTTTTGATGAAGTAGATATATCAGCAAACATGCGAAGGAAAATGTCACAGCAAAACTTAAATGGCGGCGTGTTCTTTTACAAGTAACGATTGAATCTGTTCTAGTGCGCAAACAAGCGTTAAGAAGAGTAGGCAACAACTTTAAAATAGTTAACTTGTATGACCTCTAGCGGTAGAATAAAGAAAACTATGAGAAAATCTATGGCGATAGTGTAAGCCACAGCGAATTTATAGAGAAAGTATACAGATGGCGTAACTGTTACTAAAGGGAACATAACAATTTAAAAAAAAACGTTACAAAGTTGTGAATATGACCCATTCCCTCTTTTGGCGAAGGGCGCAGTTACGCAACGCCACTTGACACGAATCTAACAATCCTAATTATTCAATGAGTTCGCGAGTGTGTACGCGTGAGTGATTCCCGAAACTAGGTAAATGTTTCCCTTATTTTCTATGTAATGGTATCACTATATAGGTAGGGTGTAGTAGGTGCTTTATATTATAAATTTGAATTTGCAGGGCTTTTGTCTAAGGTTGCGCAATGCTTGTAAATGAGTTTGTCATTTAGGGGTAGCTAGATCCATAATGCTTTCTCATGTAGGGACGTAGCTTCAATTACGTTTATAATCCTGTGCAATCATTTTGATTTGGTGGAATTTTCCTTTAACTTAACTAATATTCTGTTTTGAATTCAGAGTTATATATGATTGGTTAGCGGGAGGTTGAAGATTAATATACAGGGTGTTTATTGAACTTACAGATTTTGTGTACGCACTTAGAGTTCTATGGAACTTTCAACGCGTATTTTAAATTTTAACAATACACAGGAAAGTGATTTCAAAAATTCAATTATGATTTTTGTTATCGGCTTGTGTGA